GAGTCCCACCCCTAGGGGCCAGTGCTGTAAGCAGAAGGCATGGCGAAAGTGTGTAAATGGTAAATGGACCTGCATTTGTATAGTGCCTTTCTAGTCATCCGACCACTCAAAACGTTTTTTACACTACGAGTCACATTGACCCATTCACACACACATTCATACACTGGTGGCTGAAGCTACCATACAAGGTGTCACCTGCTACCCAGAGTTTTTGTTGCCCCTTTCTTTTTCAATTTAAAAGTCCTCATTTCAAATTAAAAGCCCACAATCCAGCCATCTATAAGGTTTTGACCTAGACTTGGTTTGAAATTTGAAGCTTTGAAGAGAGACAAAAAATGACTTAAATCAGCCGCCCTTAATTTTTTGTCCAGTCAGTGAGAATGTGGTAATAAACTGTGTAGAAGACGGTGCTGAGGTCTAGCACTACAGGAATAAAAAATTAATTTCTATTATAGTTGATTCTGATACCAGAACAGTTTAGCACCACCCCTGGTTCAGAAACCTGACTGAAACTGTGTGCTTTGGAAAATGTCTAGTTGTTGTTAACTGGCTGAAATGGAAAGCTAATGGTAACACGAGTCCTTTAAAGATCTCTGGCACTAAACCTTGTAGTATGAAACTTACCTAGAGCTATGTGCAAAGGTTTTATTGTAGTAATAAAGAGGGTGGTTTGAATGAATGCCACAGCTGGATGAAACAAAAATGGAAAATGAAAGCAAGTCTGTACAGTGTGTTAGTCAGCCATTAATTATTGATTCCACAAATAAATAATGGCTTTCTAGAAATAGAGAGACTGAAGGCAACATGGGAGGAAAGTGCAACATGCCAACATTTCCTAGTAGAGTTGTGTGGGCTGCTGTACAGATCTGTGGTGATGGGGATTTACCTTTCATTTCCCTTCTAATGGATTACACTGCTGTCACCTCCTGTGCTCTCACTGTTAAAAAAAGAGCAAGTGTAAACGTTTCATTCCATAATGTCAGTGTAAGACAAGACAGTTGAAGTACACGTAATAAATCACATAGACTTATAGAGTTACTGGCAGCCAGGAAATGCAGCACCATACACTGGAAAATACCACTTTGACATATTGTCATGACAAGTGATCATGTATGTGTCAGACTTAAAAAAATAATGTTCATCCTCACCTTTGTCATTTTACCCCTTAATTACTGTATTTAGAACATTTTGCAAACTGGCATTCAAAATATTAACATCTGCTATCAGTTCTTTAAACCACTGCACTATGAACAGTTACTGTCTATGAATGTGGTTGCATTTAAGTAATGAATCCAGATAAGCCCTGCTTTGGAAAATGCAGCAGACTTCTTCAGAAACCTCTCGGTATTTCCCCTGTTCTGTACAGCAGATTAGAATGTTTGTTAAGTTTGCATTCCTTGACTGAAACAAAGATCTTTGTCTGGTCTTTGGAGATGATCGACATTCCAACATAGATGAACCTGTGCATTATTTAAAATGTATTTTTGTTTTTGACTAAACCAGATCCCAAATACATGATTTACACAACACTGTAGGTTTTTACACTCACGTGATGTAGCTTAACACGGCCCCAGTAAAAGTCTTACCTGGGTCACCCTGAAAGGTTTTCCAGTGGAACAAAAATAATGCCCAGATGCATAACCATATGAGGTGTATTAGAGGTAGTTCACAAAATGTCAGTCCCATGAAAATACCAACACCCATCATGTGTTAGCCCATTTCTCAGTGGCTTTGTGGCTTTCATACACTGTCTGTGGCTCTCCAAGCCCATGGGTTCCTCTGTACTATAATCAGTATACTGAAGACACCAATCCAAAAAAATATTTCATGTCATGAATATATACTCAAACAGCTGCTCATTGTAGTTTTCAACAAAGAAACAGGAGGAAATAGTGCATTTGTTACCTCTGCCAAGGAGGTTATGTTTTCGCCGGCGTTGGTCTGTTTATCTGCAAAATAACTTGAAAAGTTCTGAACGGATTTTGATGAAATTTTCAGGAAAGGTTGATAATGGGCCTGTCAGTGTGTCTGTCTATCTGTCCATCCATCCATCCACCTATTTATCTATCTATCTATCTATCTATCTATATGTATGTATGTATGTATAGCTACTGACTTTCACATGGAAGGATGGGGTTCGAATCCCAGCCTGAGCGAACATCATCCAGTAAGGCTCCATAGGCAAGATTCCCAATGCAATATCTGCCTTCCCCAGGCATGAATGATTACAATCCTGATAGAGTCATACTGGCTCGGACGTTGCCCGGGTCAACAAGGTCCGCAACAGTTGCTAGGGAACCAGGGCAATCTGATGAGAAATGGGCTATGTGTATATGTATATACATATATACATACATATATATACATATATATATGTATATGTATATATATGTATATGTATATATATACACACATACATATATATATATATATACATACACAGTACAGGCCAAACGTTTGGACACACCTTCTCATTCAATGCGTTTTCTTTATTTTCATGACTATTTACATTGTAGATTCTCACTGAAGGCATCAAAACTATGAATGAACACGTGGAGTTATGTACTTAACAAAAAAAGGTGAAATAACTGAAAACATGTTTTATATTCTAGTTTCTTCAAAATAGCCACCCTTTGCTCTGATTACTGCTTTGCACACTCTTGGCATTCTCTCCATGAGCTTCAAGAGGTAGTCACCTGAAATGGTTTTCCAACAGTCTTGAAGGAGTTCCCAGAGGTGTTTAGCACTTGTTGGCCCCTTTGCCTTCACTCTGCGGTCCAGCTCACCCCAAACCATCTCGATTGGGTTCAGGTCCGGTGACTGTGGAGGCCAGGTCATCTGCCGCAGCACTCCATCACTCTCCTTCTTGGTCAAATAGCCCTTACACAGCCTGGAGGTGTGTTTGGGGTCATTGTCCTGTTGAAAAATAAATGATCGTCCAACTAAACGCAAACCGGATGGGATGGCATGTCGCTGCAGGATGCTGTGGTAGCCATGCTGGTTCAGTGTGCCTTCAATTTTGAATAAATCCCCAACAGTGTCACCAGCAAAACACCCCCACACCATCACACCTCCTCCTCCATGCTTCACAGTGGGAACCAGGCATGTGGAATCCATCCGTTCACCTTTTCTGCGTCTCACAAAGACACGGCGGTTGGAACCAAAGATCTCAAATTTGGACTCATCAGACCAAAGCACAGATTTCCACTGGTCTAATGTCCATTCCTTGTGTTTCTTGGCCCAAACAAATCTCTTCTGCTTGTTGCCTCTCCTTAGCAGTGGTTTCCTAGCAGCTATTTGACCATGAAGGCCTGATTGGCGCAGTCTCCTCTTAACAGTTGTTCTAGAGATGGGTCTGCTGCTAGAACTCTGTGTGGCATTCATCTGGTCTCTGATCTGAGCTGCTGTTAACTTGCGATTTCTGAGGCTGGTGACTCGGATGAACTTATCCTCAGAAGCAGAGGTGACTCTTGGTCTTCCTTTCCTGGGTCGGTCCTCATGTGTGCCAGTTTCGTTGTAGCGCTTGATGGTTTTTGCGACTCCACTTGGGGACACATTTAAAGTTTTTGCAATTTTCCGGACTGACTGACCTTCATTTCTTAAAGTAATGATGGCCACTCGTTTTTCTTTAGTTAGCTGATTGGTTCTTGCCATAATATGAATTTTAACAGTTGTCCAATAGGGCTGTCGGCTGTGTATTAACCTGACTTCTGCACAACACAACTGATGGTCCCAACCCCATTGATAAAGCAAGAAATTCCACTAATTAACCCTGATAAGGCACACCTGTGAAGTGGAAACCATTTCAGGTGACTACCTCTTGAAGCTCATGGAGAGAATGCCAAGAGTGTGCAAAGCAGTAATCAGAGCAAAGGGTGGCTATTTTGAAGAAACTAGAATATAAAACATGTTTTCAGTTATTTCACCTTTTTTTGTTAAGTACATAACTCCACATGTGTTCATTCATAGTTTTGATGCCTTCAGTGAGAATCTACAATGTAAATAGTCATGAAAATAAAGAAAACGCATTGAATGAGAAGGTGTGTCCAAACTTTTGGCCTGTACTGTATATATATATATAGAGAGAGAGAGAGAGAGAGAGAACATCACCCCAATAATACTTTGAATATACCCTGTGGAGTGGCTATGGATCAATGTTTTAATAAGCAGGTTTGATTCATCTCAGCAGTAGTCAAAATGTTACCTTACATTAGAATTCTATTGGAGATATTTGTTGTTAAAATTGTGGTCAGGAATTTAAAGAATACCAGAAAAAGAAATCTAAAGGAAGGACTAGTTTTGTTATATGCAACTGGTCATACTGTATATGATCATGTGACTATTATGCCAGAATCCAAACTATGTGTCATTTAAAATCATGCTGGCCTTAGTGGTTTACTGAGTCTTGGATTGATATCCAGGCCTGTTCCACAGTCTGTGTGACCTACATACATGACTCTCTCTCAAGCGAACAACACCTTGAAAGCTGCATGGAGAAAACATGCCTGTTTACACTTGGTCACTCAATTCTAATACTAGTTTCCAAAGTAAAATAAGGTGACACTGTCATAGTGTAACCCAAGAAAGGCCAGATGAGTTCTTTATGTGGAGCCCTTGGGATACAATGGCTTTACAGTGACGTGGACTGATGAAGGCCCACATAGCCCTGTTCAGGTATTTTCTGGAGCTGAAAAGCTGCCTTTGTGCTGCTCTCCCAACTCATCCGTGAATGTGCTTGTTAGAAATATTCCTTTTCAGTGCGGAATGCATTTGATGTAAGAGTTTTTCATGTTGATACTGAACAGTAATTTCATTGTTTCTGAGAAGCTTTCCTGCACTGAAATCTGGATTGCTTTTATCAGGAATAGAGTGGAGGGTAAACTTTTCTTTGCATCACTGCAGTTAATAGTTTTGTGATATTCAGGAAGCGGATGAAATGAGTAGAGGTGACGGCATACAGGCACACTATTGAAGCATCTTTTCTCTTTTTTTTGTAACAGACATAACCAGCTCTGAACCTGTGGAGGACACAGACACCACCAGCTTTGTGGCAGAATTTGTAAGCACTATTCTGTATTCTTTTTGTTTGTTCAACTGTCTGGTTGTCTTGTCTTAACTTCTACCCAGTTTGTTTTGTACTGATTTCTCATTTTTCTTTCTCAGAAAGCAGAGTCTTACAGTAATCTGCTAGGAAATGTACCATAACTGAACCCACTGTGCTGTGATTCTTACTGCCTGGGGGCTCATTGAAGAACAGGTTGTAGCAGGCCGTTCCCTGTTTTTGCACACAACAGAGTCATTTTCTTCCACAGTTACTGACTGTATTTTGAACGCTGCCCCAGTTTTATAATGATCCCAGGAGGAGGGTCAACAGAGGAGACACACTTTTGTTTTTCATTTTTCTCTCATTAGCTTTTTTTATTAGGGGTTCAAGCCCTGAAGGGGTAGAACCCCACTGAGTTTGTGCTGTTTTATAATAATAAAAATAAGAATGATGATAATACTAATAATAATAATAATAATAATGATAATAACAAGGAGCTCAGTCCATAGGGACTTGGGTTGAAAAAAAAGAAAAATAATAAGCCTGAAGGGATTAAAAAAGTGAAAACTTTGACAGGCCACAACTTAATGTGCTCTACAAAAAAAGCCTATTGGACAATCAAGGCCACCATGATGAATTCTTTGTTAATTTGCATAATGTCAAAAAGCCACTAATATGAATAGACTTTTTTGGATCTTTACTCTATCAGCACTCTTACAGCATTGTGGAACTGAGATACAAAATCCTACTATAAATGAGCAAGATCTGTCAAAAACCATGGCCGCCACCAATCGAAAAGTCTTTACAAAGGGCAAGGTGAAGGAAATAGAATAAAAACTCACATCGTCTGGGAGCAATCCTGATTAAACCCAGTGTTACCATCCACAACCACCCAAGTTTTATTCACATCTGATAAAAAAGGGAGCAAATAACAAGACTTTGAGTGTCCATTTATTGAAATGCTGCATACCATAAAACTTCAAGTAATAGCCCAGACTACTGTTTTTTTAAATCTCTGAAATCAGTGGCTCTATATTTGGGACAAGCATTTATATGGGACAGGCCTTTCATTCCCTTCACACAAAACGGTTGCTCAGCAAAGATGGGAAATACAATCAAATTGTTTATAAACCAGTATGAATATTACTTGCATAAAAATTAGGCTTCAGATAGCATATTAATTATGAATTACTTATTTGACCTAGCTTCGCCAGACAACACATCACAGAGCGCTTTACGGTATGGATAACAGCACTCAGCATACTGACACAACACCACTTTATCCTGTTAAACAAAATACTCATAACTTGGATGAATTTTGAAAAAATTTGAAAAACCCTTTTGATTCTTTTGATCTAAGGACCCTTACGGACTTAAGGAATATGAATTATTTACAGGGTAATCCCGTTTTATACATCCAAAGAACTTCTATGAAAACTGCTTAGCAACCAGACCAGGTGTCTAATTGAGGCAGGCATTTATTCGTCAAAATATGTAGCCACACCGGACTAGTTAAAGGGACTGGGCTTTTAATTGGGACTAGACTTTTCACTGAAGTTTTACGGTATACTGCACATCTGTTTCATTTGTTTTATTTTAAAAAAAAGATTGTTCTGATCCGCTGCCTGCCAACTTGAAGCTAATTTTTATCCATACCTGTAACCGTGAATTTATATGTATACATATTTTTACCCGTTAAACAGCATTTTGCATGTTACCCGTGGGTACCCAACGCAGTACAGGACTCTGTTCTGAATTATTTTGACTTTATCAGTACCAAATTTGAAACACTGCCTGACACTGGGGCATATTATTATTTGCTATAATTATTGGCTTAGTCCTACTGAAACCGGACTTTTAAATGCATGTAAACAGCTTAGTCCAACTGAAATTGGACTATCCGTAGCTCGACTAACACTCCTAGATAATTCGATTGAAAATCAAATTATTGCTGCATGTATCCACTTAGTCCGTGAAACTGTGATATTGTCTGAGATGGTTATCACACCATGAAAATCCCACACCGGTGCAACCCTACACCACTCCAATAGTTAGCTCTGCTCTGTGGCTCCACTCCAAATCAAAACAGATCTTCTTCATCTTCTGTGGCTTTTTGGCAGGCTAGACATGACTCTGACACATTATTGCCTCTCAGGTTTAAGACTGAATTGCGCCTATAAATGAAAATTCATTTTACTCGTCAAACAGTTTAAAGCAATAGCAAATCATAATAGGGTGGCACCTGAGGTGGCTAATCAGATTTCAGAGCTGGCCTATGCAATCCCAGGCCTCTACCTAGACACACCCCTGCAAGAGTGGTCAAAAAACATGGCCGCTATAAATCAAAAACCATTGCAAAGGGCAGGGCTCAACAGTAAATTGGCCATAACTCACTCAGTATGTTTACATGCACAGTTAAGTGAAGCTACGGTAATAGCTCGACTAGGTCATGTAATTGGACTACTATCCTTGTCCCAGTATACAAGCGCGGGAGAGGAATCAATTTATTCACCGAAGTAGGTCAGACTCCACTATGATAGGTGGCAATATGCCCCCTTTCAGCTTGTAAGTATTGGACCTTTTTAAGATTGACATATTACATCACAGACCAAACAATCGACATGCAAGTTAGCTATAGTTAGCTGGTAGCAAACTGGTACCATGGTGGACAGTTTTACAGCTCTGTACATTTGAAAAAAAAATGCACAGCTCTGGATGATAATAATAATAATAATAATAATAATAATAATGATAATAATAATAATAATAATAATAATACTGCATTTTATTTATAGGTGCTTTTCAGAACACTCAAGGACACCTTACAAGACACAGTAAAAAAACAAGTAGCAATGTATCCATAGACAGTAAAATCAAACAATTCAGTAATATACAATAAAAGTTAATAAAATGACTAGACAAAAATCACAATTATAAATATTAGATATATAATCATCATAATAAAATCATCATCATCAATATGTGTGTCACCATTAAATCAGACAGAGTATGCCAAATGTTGTAGGGGGGAGAGTTCCAGAGGCGGGGGGCAGAACAGCTTAAGGTTCTAGAACCCATGGTAGTCAGGCGAGCAGATGGTGATGTGAGTTAGAGTGCAGAAGAGGATCTAAGAGTACTATAGGGTGTGTAGATATGGAGGAGTTCAGACAGGTAGGGAGGGGCTTGATTATGAAGGGCCTTAAAGGTCAGAAGCAGAATCTTGAAATTGATGTGATATTTAGCAGGAAGCCAGTGAAGCTGCTGCAGAACAGAAGTGATATGATCTATGGAGGGGGTTCTGGTAATGAAAGGGGCTGGTGAATTCTGGGCCAATTGGAGTTTATGAAGACATTTGAGAGGAAGACCAAATAGGACAGAACTGCAATAATCAATACGAGAAGTAACCAAAGAATGAGCAAGGATAGCAGCACTCTGAGGTGGAAGTGATGGGCAAAGACAGTTAATGTTTCATAGATGAAAATATGCAGATTGAGTAACATTGTTGATGTGGGCCTCAAAGGACAATGTACTGTACAGGATTACACCCAGACTCTTAACCTGAGGGGATGGACGGACTTTGGAGTTATAAATGTTTAGAGTGAAACTGTGTGGTTTAGCCAGAGTAGATTTAGTACCCACAAGGAGAACCTTAGTTTTGTCACTGGTAAGGTTGAGGAAGTTGTATGAAAGTCGAGAATTAATATCCAATAAGCAGTCAGAAAGGGATTTTGGGGAGAGAATGGAAGTAGGCCTAGTGGATAGATAGAGCTGGGTGTCATCAGCATAACATTTTGAATACCAAATTTTGTGAAGATATGGCCAAGAGGTAGAAGGTAGACAATAAATAAAAGGGGACCTAGGACAGAGCCCCGAGGAACACCACTAGTAACTGGAAAAGAGTCGAATCTGAAATTTCTGATTTGAACAAAATGAGTGCAGCCAGAGAGATATGATTTAAACCAGTTTAGAACAGTGCCAATGATACCAATGGTAGCTAAGGAGGATGTTATGTAAAATGGTATCAAATGCTGCAGATCAAGAAGAACAGGAATAGTTAAAAGCCCAGAGTCAGCTGCCATTAGGAGATCATTTGTGATTTTTACCAGAGCTGTCTCAGTACTGTGAAAGGAGCGAAAACCAGACTGAAATCATTCAAACAGATTGTTGGGACTAAGGTGAGTGTGGACCTGAGCTGCAACTGATCTTTCAATTATTTTAGAGAGGAATCGTAAATTCGAAATTGGTCGGAAGCTGCTATAATTTCAAGTCAACTGCCTGCCTCCCTCACCCTGTTGTTACCGGCTTCTTCCTCTGTTACCTATTTAATACTTTTCGACTTCTGGGTCAAAGCCCGGGGTGGAAACTGTGGAGCATGTGCAGAGCGCCTGAGCCAGTTTGGGTTCGATTGACTGTATACATGCAGGAGTAATAAGACTCCAATCGCATTATCTGGGTGTGTTAGTATGACTTTGAGATATTTAATTTAGTATGATTTCAGTTGGACTAACACAGTCAAATTTATTTTAAAAGTTCAGTTTAAGTCGAACTAACGCAATGAATCAATTTTCTCGAATGTCATGTAAATATACTGAGTTTCCAGTTATTACAATGCTGCATACGTAACTGACTTTGCTCAGTTATGTGAAGGTCTAAACCCACTTGCTGCTACTTGTGGCTTTGATTTTACAGTTGACCTGCTTTTTTCTGTTGATCAAGAAACAGCTTTAACCTGTGACTGCCACATGCGGCTATATTTTTCTCTCTGATATTATCTTATCTGTCCTTGTCTCTCCCACAGTCCCTGGAGGCCAATTATCCAGTGCAGGTGACGGATCCTAACGGTAAATAAGGAAGTCAAACCACAATGATCCATTTTACAAAGCATACATGTGTAGAGATGTACTATTTCTGTAGCATTCATCCACACTGCAAATTCTCAAAAAGAGGCAGAGTAGCCGGTGCAATCAAATGAAATGAATAGAGATGGTGAATTGCCTGTTCCTGTGTTTTTACAATAGTAATTCCATCAGTACACCTATCTATCTATCTATTTATCTATCTATCTATCTATCTATCTATCTATCTATCTATCTATTTCATTTCACTTTTTAATGGGAGATAGGTTGAGTAAGCAACAAATAAAACTTGACACTTTAAATTGTCTTCTGTTGTTCAAGATTTTCAAGCATGGTTGTCAGTGATGATTGTATTCCTGCCGTGTTTTTGTCACAATACACATGTCAGTTATGTGTCTCCACCAGATGCTGTGACACTCCACCTGAGCTCCATGCCCTCTGGATGCCTGTGTCCCTCCTCAAACAGAATAAGACAGGTCAGTATTACCACCTTTGATACATGTGTTCATGCACAACCTGTGTTTGAATCATCAATCAATCAATCAATCAATCAATCCTTTATTTGTCACATGAAATCATCAAATCAAATCAAATTTATTTATATAGCACATTCAAAAACAACTGCAGTTGACCAAAGTGCTATACAAAATAAAAGAATGACACATAGATATATAGCAATATAAAATGTACACAAATATAAAACAGAATAACACAGCTAAGAACAATTACATACATAAAAAGATTTTAAAATACTAAATTAGTAAAACCACTTCAAACAACCAAAGGCCATTAAAAACATGTACATTTTAAGATTTGTCTTAAAATGTCAATGGAGGGGGAGGATTTGAATGAGAGGGGAAGGCTATTCCAAAGCCTGGGAGCAGGTACTGCAAAGGCACGATCTCCCTTACCCACCAGCCTCAATCGCGGGACAGTTAAAAGAAATTGTTCTGAGGGTCTAAGAGGTTGGGAGTTGGAGTAGGGGCAGAGAAGTTCAGCAATATACTGGGTTGCTAGCCCATGTATGGCTTTGAAAACAAATAAAAGAACCTTAAAATCAACCCTGTACTTGATAGGTAGCCAGTGCAGGGATGCTAGCACTGGTGTAATGCTGTCTCTTTTTCTGGCACCAGTGAGGAGTCTCGCTGCAGCATTCTGCACCAGCTGCAGGTGAGACAAAGATGACTGGCACAGAGAATTGCAATAGTCAAGGCTTAAGGAGATAAATGCAGTGGTTACAGTTTTCATGTCATTGGTTGACGTGGTGCATTTTTCAACCAATAGGAAAGGGGGTGTCGTTTTTGTTTTTTTTGCTGTTGTTGTTGCCTTCAGCACTTTCGTCAGGCCGAACGGCCCGTTTTTACCGTTTCTTCCTGCACCAAACGCGGATCAAACCTGACAACAATATTCAGGAAAATCATGGCGTTTATTATTTATCATAAGTCCGATTTTATATGGCCTATCAAGACGATTTGTGGTACAAGTGGTACAAAGTTTGAAGTTTGCACTTTCCACACAAAATGAAACGGGGACTCAGCGAGGCTGCATGTTCCTGCTACGTCATCTCAAATCAGTCACGTAATTTTGACGCGCCGGCACAGCTGTGGACTGCAGAGGGTTAAAAATGGCGGTTGCTAACAAATGGCTAAATGAGACTACAGAATGTCATCACGCTGCACTGTGCCAGATGTTTCGTCATGCGACTGTAGTGTATTTCATTTATAGCCTAACGTTAGCTTTTTACTCCATGGAAGTGTATTTTGAAAACAGACAATGCAAGTAACAGGCAGAAGTTGACAAGGCTTCCCTAAACAGAAACAACCAAAACACCCAGGGTACCAGGCACATCATATCTCGACTTGGAAGAAAGAGAAAAAAAATGCAGGTAGCTGGCTACATGGCCTGAGAAATTTACTGATCTAAACTAGAAGGGAGAGAGCACACACATGGGTAAAGCAGTTTTGGGAAGGGCTTGTTTATTGGATTTTGTGGGCGGGCCTGAGAAGGAGGGCTGTATTTTCAAATTCTGTTGTTTTTGTTTTTGTTTTTGTTTTTCCTTTTTCAGAAAACTGCCTACCCCAGCTTTAAAACAAATATAGAGAATTGTATTCTACCTTGGCTGTGGTAACTACATACTCTGTGAGTGCTTTCTATTTTAGGCTGTGAGCATACAGGATGTGGTTTTGTCCCACCGACTGAGCTGGAGGTGCAGCTGTGAGTTTTGCTAATAACAGAGCAGAGACACAGAAGGAAGAGACAGTGGTAACATGATTCTCCATCATGCAGCTTTAGAAAAGACAGCATTGGTGAAAATAAACATATAGGAAAGATTAGCAATTGGAATTGAGAGGGGAATTTAATTATTCCAGTCATCAGTGATAAAATGTATAAATCCCCCAGACGCAGTGTCTTGATTCTGTGTCTGACATTGATGTACAGTAGTGTGCAACATGACTTTTGTTGAGACATGTTTAACTTGCAGAAGCAGAAGAAGAAACTTTTGAAAAAACTAGAGAAAGGCACAGCTTAAGTTTAAAAATCAATATAATGCAATAACAGCTTACTACTGTAGGTAGTAAAATGAGCATGACCTCAACATGGAAAAACAGCTGATTCATCCACTGAATGACCTTAGATGTTTGTGTGTTTAATGTAATAAATAAACCACAGTTGAAAATCTCCCAAGCTGCAGAATGTGTTACTCTAACAACCAGCAACCAATGATTTTTCTGTAGTGCAGAGGGTAAAGTGTGAGAAGACAGTGGTGACTGTTTCTGATGTCTTCAAAATTTTTGTTCAGAAAATGAACATTATACAGGATGTGATGTCACAAATAGTAATCATTTGTGTTTCTCTGTGTTGTAGCCAGTTCAAGATGTCGAAGATTGCACCTGCCCAATATCTACTTCACCAGGTATATCAATTGTTATATCAATATGAAAATCATGACTGAATCACTCCAGATAAAAATTGTGTCAATTTTTGGTGAATTGTTAACCTGAAATATTGCCAAAAATTTCAACAGTATCATCAACCTCCTTGAGACAAGGAATTTTGAAATTTTGAAAACATGTAGAATGTGTAACGGACCATACACATGCCGCATCTTTAACCACGTGGAAAATGTGACGTTGGGCACTGGACGCTACTCTTGAGCCTACTCTGTGCCAACTTTCAAGGGTGCGGAGTGAGGTTGTGTCTGAAGCGACCATAACCAGCACTGTATTATAGCTTACTTATGAAAAATCCAGAATGCAGAACTGTATTTCTTCCGGGTGTTGTTTTGTAAGTGTGTATTAGGCCAAAATTATTGTCTGTGGGACAGATGTAAAGCTCTGGGTAGCCCTAAAAGCCGCTAAAATGATTAACTTCTTCTTCATATTTATCACAGACTGATATTTAAGGATGAAGGGAAAGTCCTTGTCACAGTACATACTGTGCACACTGCTGCGCTCCAAAAGTTGAACTCTCGTCCCTTTGGTGTTTAAGCACGTCTGCCAGGCATTTAAATTGAAAACAATGATGTGCAAGATGTGCAATAACAGCAACATTTTAGGTAGAAAAAAAAGTGTGGGCAACAATATAGACTGTAAAAAATAATAGACGTAGCTACCATGATGTCATCAATTGGTTTGTGGCATCCCATTTTGAAGCTGCGCATTTCAACCGTCGCCATCTTGGTTTTTTGGAGTCAGAAGTGACCATATCTGAACAAGAGGGTGGAGCTTTGGAGGAGCGAGGTATGGATCTGACTGAGAAGCCGAGGACGCTATCAGCAGCCTGCCACTCAGAGTGACCCTGCCCTTAATTATGCATAACTTTAAGCCTTAATAAAAGTGGTCCACGTAGATGCTATATTGACAATATTTTCACTGTTTTACTTTGCTGCCAGACAGCCCTTTCCTTTTGCACTACATTTTGAGAATCATAGAACTTCCATATTCCTACCCATTTCACTCTCGTTTTTCTGCTAAGTTCCATCCACAGCAGGAAATTGCTGAGTTTCTGTGTCAGCACTCCCGTCACTTTTATGTCCCTGTCCCATATGTAGCAAAGCGAATGGGAGCAGAGGGTGTGGCTGCCCTGGACCCACGGATCTTTCCAGTTCCAAAGGGGCCCAATCTGCTTTTTTGATCATGCATGTTTGTCGTTCAGTTGAATATCCTTTTTTGCAATAATATTGCAAAAAATAAAATCCTGCAAAGAGACAAGCTCCCACCACTGCAAAGGGGTTCTTCTCTTTTGCAGCAAACAGCACCAGAGGGACACTGTGGACACTTTGTACTGTCATTGACTCTAGACCGTTAGTACCCCCGTAATCGGGCCCCGCCATTCTGAGTAGATTCAGCTGCCATGTACTGAAGGTAATACACTGGCTATGGAATGCCTCATACAACCCCACCTCAACTATCTCCTTAATAGTTGACAATAGAGGCAGATGGAAGACATGGGGAGAGGAGGGAGTTAGTATGTGCCTTAGACCACTAAGTGACAGGGACACCCAATATGGCCTAAGTGTCTAATGGCTATTAGGGGGCAGATAGTCAAAGTAACTGAATAAATTAATTAAGAAATTAATTAAACTTTAGTTGAGATATTTATTCCCTTTTAAAATTACTGTCAATACTATGTAATTTGCAATGAACACATTCTCTTGAGCTAACTCCATCTTCTTTGTCCATCTCCGAGCTCAGACTACCCCAAAGAACTGCAGTTACTAAAGAGTCCCTGTGAGAAGTGCTGCTGCCCAGCACCTCCTCCCAAGATCAGTGACCTCATGAATGACAAAGATCTCCTGGACTTACTGCGGCTCAAGCTGGACCCAAACCACTGCACCATCAAAAACTGGAAGAACTTTGCAAGTCGCTGGGGGATGAGCTACGATGAACTGACCCTGCTGGAGCACCGGACCCAGGGCTCCTTGTACCACAGCCCAACCCAGGAGTTCCTGCTGCGCTACAACCAGAAGACAGTCACCGAGCTCACTGAACTTTGCCGCATCTACCAGCGCATTGATGTGCTGCGACTGCTGCAGAGCTGGATCGAGAAGGACTGGCCGTCACGCTGGCAAAAGACTCATTGACCAATTTGACTCTGTACATTTTTCTGCTGACAAGGTTGCATGTTTAAGAGATTTCTTCTTCTTCTTCATAAGCTCAGATACATTTTACCAATTCTTAAGCAATAGTGACTTTAGCAAGTGATTTTAAAGGGATAGTTCGACATTTTGGCACATTCGCCTATTGCCGTAATCCCTATAGTCATATGAGTAGCTACATTACCTTTAATTGTCAGTGCGTGCTGTTCTGAGATCGGTGGGGCAGAGCTGCCCACTGAAATGGAGGTGAACGGTACAGGTCCCTCTCTCCCTCAAAACTAATCAAATACACCATCAAATGACTCCAAAACGCTCTTGTGGACAACTTGTAGCTTACACATTCACCACGCTATGAAATAATAATGTAATATTACGAGACAGAGTTGTTTTGAAGCCAAATGCAGAGCCGGAACTACATTCCAGACATACAGTACTTGCTGGGCGGAGTGATTTCAAACAGCGTATGTTTAGTGCAGTTACTCCCGTCATCAAAGCAACAAGTTTGTTGAGAAGAAGCCAGAATATACAGAGGAAGAGTTACAGGTTTTGGAAGAAGAGAGAGCAAGAAGAGAGGTTGAGGCTGCCGAGCAACCAGGGGCTGAGGGGAGACCCAGAGCCGGTGGTGTAAATGTGGGGCTTACTGGCCACTTTATTAGGTACACCTGTGCAATATAAATATAGAGTATGCCTCAAAATAATCACCGGAACACGGGAGAACATGCTAACTCCACACTCATAAATCACCACAACTCCTGAAGGAACAACAACATAAAATGTTCCCTAGCAGTCTGTTTATTCCCAACAATGAGAAGTAATGCCAGTCACTTCACTAACTTAAATGCTCTGGGCAAGCACTTAACCATAACATAACCACAACAACATTTGCATTTTAGCCTTATTTACCGTGCTTGGGTTGTAGGCTAATGTTACTCAACATGGAGGTAACGTTACAGCAGAGAGATTGCTGCGCAAAATACACAACGATCACTTACCACGTCTGCTCGTTTTGTGATGCCGACAGATGGTATGACAGTATCTTTCAAGAAAAGCGCTTGAACCATTCCTGAGCTTCCTCCATCCTTTCAGCGTAGTCCTCCGGTAAAAAATGGCAGGAGCACACAAACGTTTTCCGGACCATTTCCACAGGCGTGTTGGGGTCGATGTCCAGCACAAATAGCCATTGTTTCATCCTGTCCGTATTACTGGTTGGAACTATGTGAAACTTCACTTTGCTCCATGTGTTTGGCTTGTTACTGCAACCTTTTACAATGCATGTGTAAACCATGATTTACAAAAACACTTGTAAACTTTCCTCAAACCTTCTGCTGCGTCCAGCTGACGATACCGCAAATGGCTACAAGCAATAACAACGGCACTGTCTCAGGTACGCACTCCGCCCAGTGGTTTACTCAAGAAAGTAGTTCCGAGTATTTGCTTCATGTGTCGTAATGTTACTTAATTATACATTATTATTTCATAGCGTGGGGAATGCACAAGCCATGTGTTGTCCACTAGAGCGTTTTGGAGTTATTTGATGGTGTATTTGATTAGTTTTGAGGGAGAGAGGGACCTGTACCGTTCACCTCCATTTCAGCGGGCAGCTCTGTCCCACTGATCTCAGAACAGCACGCACTGACAATTAAAGGTAATGTAGCTACTCATATGACTATAGGGATTACGGCAATAGGCGAATTTGCCAAAATGTTGAACTATCCCTTTAAGAGAAAGATAAAAAACAATGACCAACAACTGAAAACTTTAAGTAGAGAATTTAGTATAGCTTGGTGCTTCAGATGGCACAGGATCTTACAGACAGTATAGACTTACTACTGAGTTTGGCTTTTTGAACATTTTTAGCCCTGCAGATGGCATCGCTCTGGAGATGGCAATGTTGTTTTGTCTGCCAATCTGTCTGTTGTTCTTTTGGTTGTTCCACCACTCTGGTCCAAACTGAAATATCTCAACAACTGTTGGTTGCCCTGAAATTTTGTGGAGACATTCATAATTTTAATTACACGAATTTTCCCTCTGGGCATCAATAAAGGCTTCTCTTATGATTTGTGGTCCCCAGAGCATGAATCCTGAGAGTCAAAGGGAGTCAGAGTTTTTGCTTATCCAGTGAAATATCTCAGCATTTACTCAATTTCTGTATAAACATTCATGGTTCATCAATGATGTATCCTAATGACTTTGGTGATCCCCTGATTTTTCCTCTAGTGCCAGTATGAGGTTAACATTTGAGTGAAATGTCTCAACAACTATTGGGTGGCTTAGATAAACTGTGATAAACTTAGTGATCCCTTAATTCTTTTCTGTAACGCCATCATCAGGTCAAAATTTTGATTTGACCAAAATGCTGCAGAATGGACATTGCCATCAGCCTTAGCTGTACTTTGTGTTTAGTGCTAATTAACATTAGTATGCTAACAAGTCTATTTAAGATGGTGAGCATTGACATGTTAGTGTTGTAACCATGTGCATGTTAGCATGCTGAAATTAGCGTTTAGCTTAGAGCACCGCTACGACAAAATACAGCCTCACAGATCCACTAGCATGGCTATAAATGCTTAGTCCTGTTAATGCGCATCTGACTGTATATGACTGGATAAGAAAGAACACAAGGAATGGCAGAGTAGCCCTATTTACATAATATTAAACCCTTTTTTTGTGGAAACAACACTGTGACTCATTCAGTCCCTGCAAGATTTTGCGGGCAGTTTTAAGAAATTGCAATGCATGTTGCTGCCAAGCTGCCCTCCTCCCACTGTCTCTGCTCAGTTAGCATAAGCTAACACAGCGGCAGTGGCTAATACCCGGCACTGACCATTTAAGATCATATAAGATTAACTTTATTGTACCAAATGTGGGAAATTTGTCTTGGGCTATAAGAGGTGACCGTCACTGCTCACATGAAGACTTGACAATATCCCCTGCTTTCCTCTGTGTTTGCAGTAGGGTAAGGTGGTTACACAATCCCAGTAACCCTGCATCAAGTGACACATGAATATTAGAATAATAAATATTTACTGGTCCAAGAGTCCCACACCGAAACAGCTCAGCTCTGTCTGCCATTAATAACTGTTGGGTAACATTAGCTGTGTGATGCCAACTGTTAGCCTGGCACTGTGTGGCCCAGGCACAGAGCTCAGGTCCTCCAGCAGTAGTCTTATCATAAACACAGACAGGGAGAGAGAGAGAGAGAGAGAGAGAAAGAGAGAGAGAGAGCAGATCTACTAGATTTTACCTGTTTTTAATAATCAAATTTGAGGTAAAGTTGCCGTGACTGGACAAAATTGCAAGGTCATGCAGAATTCAGTGGGATTGGCTGAATTTGTGTTAATTGTTGCAATCGCAATATCCTGGAGGGACTGCTCATTTACTGTTGTTCTACTGTTACCTCCAGTAGGGTTTAGGGTGGAATGGAGCTATGTGTACAGTATCAGAACAAATGAAAAGATAGGGTTACAATCAGCATTTGTTCCTTGGACAAATGACTCTATAGGAATTTATCAACTCCAACTCCGATCGGCTCCCATCCCCTTCACAGATGGAAATAAGACACATGGGTGGAGGTGCTAATTTTAGCCCCTAAGCGGGCACGATGCAAGGACAGGCTATCACAAAATACCATCCGTCTTCATCCAAACAGCACTTAAACATTGTTCCAAATTTAGTCAGCATCGAGTTTGAAAGAGATTGAATAACTATGAGATGTAAAAAAGAAGTTACCACCTCAACATTTTCACTTGCCTCTATGCTGCTTTGTACTGTTCCCTAACCTGTTTTCTGGCCCGTCAGTGATGTCAAACATGACACACTGGAAAAAAATGGAAAAAACAAAACAGAAAGGTGTACTCATCTCCTGCAGAGGTGTTACCATGACTCTGGTGTTTGCAATGGGAAAGCAGTCTATATTTTGAGCAGATTATCCTGTGTTTAAAAAACCTGCATGCACATGCCTATTTAGGTGGAAAAAGGGTATAGAGTTCTAAGAGTAAGGTCTAAACCTGCTCTATAATAAAAGTGTCCTGAGATAACTTTTGTTATGATTTGGCACGATATAACTTATAATTGATTTGACTTAAAATTGAAATTGACTATAATAATGATTTCATAGATATCTCCTTAATTTGTTTTTAAAACAAAAAATTGAATTTGTAAAATCTCCAATACTACATTTGAAACGTTTAACACAAACATGTTATTTGTCATTCAGTTTTGTTTTTTTTTTTTGTTTGAGAAAACAACTTAAAGAGTATGGTCCAGACCTGATCTATATGAAAAGTATCCTAAGATAACTTTAGTTATGATTTGGCACTATATAAGGAAAATTGACTTGACTTGACTTGTCTGAATTTTATTTATGTTTTTTTTATTGTAATTGTTTTCTCTGAAATAAACATGTCAAACTCTCTAAAAGCATTTATCATGTTTCAAGGAAAACTAAGCAGCAACACCAACCTCAAGGCAACTGTCTGTTACATTTGTTTTTAATAAGGAATTATATTTTTGATCTTATATTTATCAGCAACAGTTAAAATGCACAGCTCTTTCATTTTAATTCAAATATATTGTACATATTTTTAAAGTTTTATTTCATATTTGATTATAATTTCCTTCTATTCTGTTTGTGTTTCGTGATTTTTGCAATACTTTCTTTTCTTTTTAATTTTATTTTCTCTAACTGTATTTATGTTATGCACCAAAACACCAAAGCAAAATTCTTGTATGTGCAAAGCTACTTGGCAATAAATTGGACTCTGATTCTAATTATATTTTTACAGCTCCTTAATTTCCCAAAAGCTCTCAAAATTCAAATGTCCAAGATGGTTCCCGGAAAAAACTGTGTGTAATTAGATAATATTTATAGGGAAAATAAAGACAGTATTCTGATTATATGTTTCCAATTGGTTAATCGTAATTAATTTCTATTGCATCCTACAAAGCCACTATTTCAGCATACAGTGGGTTAGCTGAAAATGGAAAAATGGAATTTGTTGAATAGATAGGCTTACAAATCAGCTCATATGGAGTAAAGTCTCTAATACAGTAATAGATTCATATTTATTGGGGGTTAACTTGAGCTTTTATTTCAGGGAAATTCCTATTTTTACTATAATCATTACCAAATTTATTT